GGGGGGGGGGGGGGGGGGGGGGGAATATGACGACGGCCCCGCCCAGCCCCGCCGCCCCCCCCCCTCGGCAAGTGCACACGCTCGCCAGGGGGGCGTCTAATATTTGCCCTCACTCCCCTCGCTTCAAACGGCGTAGAGAGGGGCCGGAGAGGCCGAGCGTGCACTGCTCCGCCGGACGCACCTCGCACGCGGAGGCGGGCGAGAACAGGCAAACAGACAAAATGCCTCCGCCCCGGGGAAGACCGGGCCCCGCTCGCCCTCCGCCCCCCCCCGGGATATGTTTCCAGCCACCCCCCCCCATGTTGAGGAGACCTCGGCCGGCCTCTCGCGCCAGCCCGGACGGCGGCCGTGCCTCGCCGTGGAAGATGGCTGCCTCCCACCTTCGAGGAGGCCCGGGAACCGGGGCGAGCTGGGCGTTGTCCAATTCCCAAGAATGTGGGGCAAGCTGGCCGTTCCCCCCGAACCTTTCACACATTTACAGACCGGCGTGTGTGTTTGTGTGCGTGGTATCCATATCTACCCTTCCATCCGTCCGGGCATGGATGAATAAGCCACAGGCGAAAGGCAGGGCGGACAAGAGAGACAGAGAGACAGAGAGAGAGAGAGAGAGAGAGAAAGAAAGAGACACTGTGTGAGGCCCCACTCTTTTCCGGCCTGGGGGGCGGGACATTCCTCTCCCGGGAGATGTCCACCCGCGAACCGGGGGAGCCCCGGGCCACAAGTGGCCCTCCAGCCGATCCCAGCCTACAGGAACAGGAATACCACACGGCATACACCAAGAATAGGTGTGGTCAGCAGAGAACAGGCAGATGGTCCCGGAGAAGGTGGCCGGGCCGAAGATCACCGTGCGCCCCCTCCTCCCGCCCGCCACCCCGGCGGCAGGCCCAGGGCGGGCTGTTAATCTGGGGAAATTGCAGCGACAAATTCCTCGCGTGCCATGTGATGTAAGGCCTGGCGGAGGTGCTGCCCCGATTGATCACATCGTGTGCTTGGAAACCATTTTACGAAGCCATGTACTCAGCAATGGAGAAAGCGGCCCGCGGCCGGGGGGGGGGGGGGGGGGGAAGAGGCAGAGAGACCTGGAGCATAAATAAAAATCCATTATACCTCTCAATTATGTGGGAGAATCTATTCCGGAGAGCGTGGCTTTGTCCAGACTGGCTGCCAGGACCCACCGCCGTGATGCCCGCTTGAACGTCCCCCCCCCTCGCTGGTGGTGGGGATATATTTTGAGGAGAGGACAGGCGCTCGCAGACGCAACCACAACATCCAGATCCGACTGTCGAACGGACAAACAAGGCCAAAGGTGGGGGGGACACCGCCACGCGGAAAGCGGAGGGGGGAGGGGGGGGGGGCGGGGGGACACACACGCTAATCCCGAGACCAGACGAGAGTGGGGCGGCGCTTCTCCGGGCGCTCGGCCACCGGCGTGGCCCTCTTGGTGCTCTTGCCGCCGGAGGGGCCCTTGCTGCCGGAGGGGGAGGAGCTCCTACGGCCAATGGTGCCACTCTCACGGGAGCCCTTCTTCTGAAGATGGACCTCGCGCTGGCTCTGGGCAGCGGCCGCGGCACGGCGCTTCCCCCGGCGCGAGGCAATCCGCCGGGCCCGGTTCAGGGCAGTCTTGTTGCCGAGTTGTGCCACCGGCAGGCGCTCCAGGGCATCGCGCACACTTCGCTCCACGTCCGGCACAAAGAGCGGGGCCCTCTGCCGGGTCCTGTCAAAGGAGGCCGCATGCACCATGCTGCTGGCAAGACCGCTGTCCTGCGCGCGCTTGCGCTCGAACTTCTGGACCAACTCCTCGAAGGAGGGATTGGCGGGCCCGGTCGCCTCGGCGGCGGCTGCCGCGCGCATTGCATCCACCAGCGGGGCCGCCAGAGCCGACGTGGCTTGCTCATCGCCAGCATGGAAGGCCATCGCCCGGCTCAAGCTGGCCACCTTTCGATCGGAGAACATGGCCGCCGGCAGGACGACCGACGACATGTCCTTCGGCCGGAGGCGCTTGCCGTTGGCCGGGCTAACCGGCGAAGCGGTCGCATCCGGCCCCGGGGTCGCCTCGCGCCCACGCAGACGATCATATGTGGCCGAATCCACGTCCAGCCAAGGCCCGGGAACCTTGCTTCGGGGAAGGCGCCGCCGAAGCATCGTCTCAATGGCCTGCAGAGTGGCGGACTCGGAACGCTGGGTGGTGGGGAGAGGCGGGGCGGGGGGGGGGAAGGGACAAGCCGACCAGCCGACCTCGCAGAGCGAACTGGGCCCCGGCCGCCGGGGGGGAGTGAGGGATCAGGGGGGCGAGCGTACCGATCAACCTGCTGCACGCAGGGCATGCGGAAGGAGTACCCATTGCTGATGATCTTCGGCCGCGACTGGAAGGCACCTGCGGGGGGGGGGGGGGGGGGGGGGGGGGGGGGGGGGGGGGGGGGGGGGGGATATCAGTGAGAACATGCTACCATGGCGTCGACCAGCGGAAGGTCCGGGAGGCAAGGGCCGGGGGACGAGGGCGAAAAAAAAAAAGAAGCCGGCAAAGAGAGGGGCAATCCTCGACATACTGTAGTTTGGTAGGTGCCAACCTTGATATTTTGGAGTTCCGGGCTGACGAACGTGAGGGCCAGACCGGAGCGATCCTGTGTGCGTACATGCGTGCCCGGAGATGGCCGAAAGAAAAGGCGCATGTCCACCTCGGTGTTAGCACGGGGGAAGGGCGGGGGAGGGGGGAGACCCAGGCAGGGGGAGTGCCGGAGGAAATGCCAGATCGAAGGTCGAAGGGAAAGGAACATATGCTCAACACGTACACCACGCGCGGTGCGGCCCACCCGGTGGACATAATCCTCCGCACGCAGGGGAAGGTCCAGGTTGACCACGGCCTCGACGTTGGGCAGGTCGATGCCTCGACCGAGAACATCGGTCACCACCATCACATCAATCTCTGACTTTCCGTCATCGGTGAAAGCCTTGCGGAAGCGCGTCGCCGGTGGCGGGGCAGTGCCGGAGCCATCGGCCGGCGGGGCGAAGCGCGCCAGCGTGGCACGCTGCTGCGCGGCCGATACCTTCGAGTGAAGGGCCACAGCGCGGACGCCGTTTTCCCGGAGGTGCGCGGCAACCCGCTCCGCACGCACCCGGCTCCGAACATACACCATGGTCTTTCGGTCCAGCAGGGTGACATGGGACCGGCGGTGGCGACGGAGGAAGTACAACAGGAGAGACATCTTTCGCTGGGCGCCACAATCATAAACATACTCCTTGACTGTGGGGGGCGCCAGCGAGCGGGAAGTGGTCAGGAGAGGCAGCTGCTGAGCAGCGAAGGGGGCAGCGGGGAAGCAACATAAACACATGGTCTTCGGGATGGGGAGGGGGGGGGAGAGAGTAGGGAGGACGCACGCTGCTCGGGCGAGAGCATCTTGTCATTCAGATGAACAAGCTCATGCTGCGGGGCAAAGCGAAGGAGCGAGTTGTGTGTGCTCTCTGGGAGGGTTGCACTGAAAAGCAGAGTTTGGACCTTACGCTGGCTCGGGCGCGGGATGAACTTCCACAAGGCAAAGACTGGTCGATGAATGGCGTGCGGTGGGCCAGGGGCGAGGGGGGGGGAGCACGACGTGGTTAGACAGGAGGGGAAAGAGAGGGGGAGAGGGAGAGGGAGAGGGAGAGGGAGAGAGAGAGGGAGAGAGAGAGAGAGAGAGAGAGAGAGAGACCAACCCAGGTGCAAACCCCAGGGCAGTCGGCGTTTCAATCGGGCAGGGAAGAAAGGAGCAGGGAGAGAACGCACGCGAGGGGAGCAGCCCCAAACTGAGCATCCGGTCACACTCATCAATCAGGAAGATGTCCAACCGGGAGAGGTCGATCTGCGGCCCGGCCGGGGGCGCTGGCGCTGGCACAGCCGGCGTCGGAGTCGAGTCGGTGGTGGCCACACGCGCGCGACGCGCCGGACGCGCACGCAACCCACTCTCCGCCAGGTCCAGCTGCTTCAAATGCTGGAACTCATCGTCATTGAGAAGGCCACTTTGACGCATCCACTCGTCGAAGGAGCCGGTGGCCGGGGCGACATCCGTTTCATTTTCCTCGCCCGCCGAGAAGGGGTCCATGAGCTCCTCATCCTCGCTGTCGGCCTGGTCGGCGCCCTCCTGCAGGTGGTCCCACGGAGTGTCGAGGTCCATTTGGGCCAACTGACTGGCAGCCAGTGACTCGCGGATGCTGGCCAAATCCCGCCGATCTTGGTCGGCCCCCGGGCGACGAGTCACCCCGGTGGCAAGGGCCAGTCGCCGGGGATCCAAATTCCCCACACCCAAGCTCCGAAGAAGGGCACCAGGAGTGCTGATGACCAGCTCCGGATTGGGCCGGCCAGGCGGGTGCGAAGCCAACTTGTGGGGGCCGGCCACCAAGCCCACTGACAGGCCCACGGCCACGGCCCAGTCGGAAACCACCTCGAAGGCTTGGGCTGCCAGCGGCCCGGTCGGAGCCAAGAGCAGGGCCCGCGGCTGGGGCGGGCCATCATGCACGGGCAGGGGGCCGTCGCCGGATGCCGCGCGCTCTTCGGCCACCTGGGCCGCAAGACGGCTCAGCGCCGGGAAGAGGAAGGCCGCGGTTTTGCCTGTGCCGGTTTGCGCCGAAGCAATGACCGACTGGCCACTGGCCACGACCGGGATGGCCGCACGTTGGATGGGCGTTGGCGTGGCCCAGGCCAGACCATGCGGCCGACGTGCGTGACGCTCCGGAGCCGGAAGCCGGGTGCCGGTCGGGGCCGAGGCCAGTGCCACCAGCCGCGCATCCAGGAAGGGCGCCAGAGCATCCCAGGTGTCCAATTGGGCGATCCGCTCGGATGCCTGGTCCATGGCGCGGGAACTGGATTTGTAGCCTGTGCGCTTGGGCTCCGAAGGGCCGGGAGTCAGGTTGGATATGTCGACGAAGAAGCCAAAGTCATCCCCCTCCTCCTCCTCCTCGACCTCGATGTAACGCGACGCCCCGGCCGCGGCATCATACTCATGGCGCTCCCACGAGTGGCGGCGAGGGGTAAATCGACGAGCGCGATCCTGCGGCGGGCCCGAGGCGAAGAGACGCGCCGGGGCCGCGCCAGGCCCGGGCTTACGGTCGCCCTCGGTCAGGCTAGGAGCGAGTGCACGGATGTGAGCCCATCCGGCGATCGGGCGCCGAAGAGCAGTGCCCAGGCTCCCGCGGAGGCATCGGATGGCCAGCATGCTACTGCCGTAAGAGGGGGCGGGGGGGGGGGGGGGAGGAGGGGGAGGCGGGGGGGGGGGGGGAGGGGGGGGGGAGGAGAGGCGGGAGAGAGGCAGCAGAGAAGGGTGATGGAGAGAGGGAAAGAGGAAGCAAAGAATCCACAACGACAGGCAGGGGCGAGGGACAGGGCGAGAGGGGCAGGGCGAGGGGCAGGGCGAGGAGCAGGGGCAGGAAGGATTGGCGATGGCTCATCTGGCAGTGAGTACCACAGGCAACACTCCGAAGAGGGGACAACCTCGAGGAAGGGCGGGAGATCCGGCCCGATGGCCAGGTCTTGAGCAACATGGCCCGAGGACCACGATGGCGAGCACACATGTTGAGAGACCCCCTCGATGCGTCCGTGGGGCGCTCAAGACGCGAGGCATATCACACTCCATGGCACGTGGATCCTCTTGCTTGGGCGTGATTATGCCCGCAGGCGCTCCCTGGACAGATACCCATCGAGCCGCACGCACACACGGGCGCTCGCGCATGCGCGCACGTACCGGAGGGCATGCCGAAGATGGGGGCCCGGCCGGATTGACCCCTCCTCTCGCTGCTTGGACATCATCCCGCCCCCTGGGCCTTCTCTCGACACGGGCACGTAGAAGCACGAATTAGAGGACGCGAGAAATATGCCAGCGGCTTCCGGAGGAGGGTCTCCTTTGTTATTGTTGTTTGCGCGGTGGTCCCTCACCCTATGTGGCCATTCCGGGTGGCGACGCCCCGGCGCACCATAGCCGCGCGCATGTCGAGGCGCCTTGCCCGGACTTGTGTGCCTCCGACCCTGCCGCCGGCTTGGGGACGAAGACTAAACAAGCCCGCCGCCACCACCGCGGCCGGGACACAAAAATAGAGGGGCAGGGGGCCTCACCCACCCCCCCCCCCCCCCCCTCGCCCCCCAGGTGCGCATCATCCTTGTCGCGTGAAACCCTCGCGAGCAGGGTGCCACGGATGTGGGCGCACACACGTACACGCACGCCGGACACCGGAATCCGGGCTCCGGTCGATCCCGCCAGCCAGCCATCCCGGTGTGACGTGCTGGTCGTGGGAACGCACCCAACGATCCTCTCCCGGGGCTCACCGCCCACGCCAACCAGATGGGGACACCCAACCGAGGACCGGGGCAGATCCATCGACACCACAAGCCCCGGGACGCCACGCAGCAGGCCCACTCATACACATACGCGCATGGGCCACGGTGTTCTTCCTTAAAGGCCATGTTGGGAGTCTGGTGCGAGCACAGCTCCGCCATGACTGCCCCGAGTCTTTTACCTGCATTCCAAGTGGGGAGGCGAGGCAACCAACACCACAGAGAGAGAGAGAGAGAGAGGGGGGGGGGAGGGGGAGGGAGAACACACATTCGCCCAGAGGAGGAGGATTCAGCGAAGGGCGGGGGCCACGCTGGGAGGCGTTCACGGGCACCAGAGGCACGGTCCAACGGCAAGGCTTCTTTTGAGCCCGGGGTGCCGGTGCCCCTGAGGGGACCAATGGCAATCCTCTTCGGCCTCACCCGCTCTCCACTTCTCTCTCTCTCTATCTCCACTCTCCTGATCGCTCCCGCGCTGCAATGCCGCACCTCTTCGCCAGGCTACTCGCCCTCGCAGCATTGCTGGTGCTGCCCGCGGCTGTCGCTGGCATTGTGGCCCCGCGGACCACAAGCCCCTCGGGCAATGTGGCCCTCCCTCTCGGGCACAACGACCAAACCTTCAAGATCCTGCAGCTCGCGGACATGCATATCAAAACCGGCACCGATTACGGGTGCTTGAACATTCCGCGCGATGGGGTACACACCTGGTGGACGGAGTTTCGCGCGCCCCCCCCCCCCCCCCCTGCCTGCTGCCCGCAAAATCACAACTCCCCTTCCTTCGATGCTAACCTCAGGGGGCTCCCTCGCAGAGCCCCTGTGGCGATCGCAACACCACGGACTTCATTGGTCGCCTGCTGGATGACGAGCGTCCCGACTTGGTTGTCTTCACCGGAGACAACGTGGCCTTCCCTCCGGATGCCAAAAAGGTTCGCTCTTCATGGGTCTTGCTCTTTCTCCCCGGGCCGTGGCCTCTCAGCTTACGTGCCTGCTTGCCTTTCTCACGCACCCTTTTCCTCTGCATCCGCACCAGGCCATCGAGATCTTCACCGAGCCGGTCATCAATCGGAGCATCCCCTGGGCCGCGGTCTTTGGTAACCACGATGCCGTGCGCTCCCCCCCCCCCCCCCCCACATGCCCGACCAATGCTTTGATCATCTCCCGGGTTTGGCTTGGGTCCCGGACCCCGGCCCTTTTGCCGCTCCCCACCGAAGGCTGACTGGTCTCCCCCTCGCAGCAAGGCAACATGGACAACGCCCAGATGATGGATATCATTGAGTCCCTTCCCCACACCGTGACATCCTTCGGGCCGCGCGATATCGATGGCGTCGGCAACTTCGCCGTGGAAGTCATCGACTCGTCCAAGTGCGCGGCGCTCCTGCCCCACACCCTCTGGCCATCCGATTGCTGCCTCCTCGCCGCACCTTCGCTTGCTGCTTGTTTCAATTCGCCTCCTCTCTCCCCTCACCCTCTCCCTCTGGCCCTCTCCCCTGCACACGTAGCGAAACTGTCTTTTCACTGTTTTTCCTGGACTCCGGCGCATACAGCACCGATCCCGACATCGGTGGCTATGACTGGATCCGCCCAAGCCAGGTAGCCTGGTACCGCAATGCGTCCGCCGAGATCAGCTACAAGTGCGCTCGATCACCCTTCGCCCCTCCTGCCAGGGAGATTGGTCATCCGCCTGCGACTTGTTTGGGCCTTCTGCTTGTCCTCACCCCCTCCCCTCTCCCCCCCGGCCCCGTCTTCGGCCTCGCCGCTGCCCGCCCAGCAATCCGCACGATCCGCCTGAGCTGGTTTTCTTCCATATTCCCTTCCCGGAGTACCACAACGCGACGGAGAATGTCGTCGGTGACAAGCAGGAGCGCGTCAACTCCGCTCAGGTGAATGGCGGCTTCTTTGCCGCCCTGACTGATGGTACATCCCCCCCCCCCCCCCCCCCCCCCCCCCCCCCCCCCCCCCCCCCCCCCCCCCCCCCCCCCCCCCCCGAGGGCCGAGGCCTCCTTGTCCTTTGTCAACCTTTATGTATGCTTTTGTCTCACATCCCTCCCCGCCAGTTGGCAAGGCGGTCGCCACGTTTGTCGGCCACGACCATGTGAATGGTGCGTCTCTCTCCCTCCTCTTCTTCTTCTTTCTCCTTCCCTCGTTCTCTCTGGCCCTTTAGCACAGTTACCAACCAACCCCACTGCCCTGGCCGTGCATTCGACACAGACTTCTGTGGTCGGTCGCCGGAGAACCCGCTCCTGGCCCTTTGCTACGGTGGCGGCGTCGGCTACGGGACATATGGTCGTCGATCGTGGGAGCGCCGCGCTCGCATCATCAACATCGAGGATGGCGGGCGCTTGGTTCGTACATGGAAGCGCCTGGACACCGGGCCCAAGGGCACCCCCATGCCGATGGTCCACGAGCAAATCCTTTGGCAAGCGAACTGGTAATATGTGGCTCCCCTCAAGCATGGCCACTTTCCAGGCCTCCCCCTCCTTGGCAGGACGCGCCACCATGTGTCTACTCTCCTGTACTCGTGCTTCGTGCCGCTGCCGCCCTACTCCCAGGAGAAAAAGGATGTCGAAACATGTACGCCCCCGCCCATGATCGATGCCTGATCAATAGCCCCCTCCCTGGGGGACCAAGCAGAGCAAGAAGTATGGGAGAGGGGGCTCGGCAGAGGGGGAGGGGAAAGGAAACAAGGACGTTGTTCCCGCAACTGAGGGGGGGGGGAGGGGGAAGCGAGGGAAGGCGGCGGGACATCGAGAGAGAGA